CTTCCACAAAATACCACGTGTGGGTGCGCATGTACAGTGCGATTGAAACTTCGTGGCCCATGCGCAGAAGTCGGTATTTTGTGGAAGAGCCACACTCAAGGGGCCAAAGAGCCACATGTGGCTTGCAAGCCGCAGTTTGCCAACCACTGGCCTAGGCTGTACTTTACATCCCCATGGCTATTCTACAACTACCAATGTGTACTTCTCAATCTCTTCAGCTTTCACACTCAGTCCCCAGCCCCTCCCCGCTCTGGCAGCCACCAGTCTGTCTCTGCATCTGTGAGAGATGACATTATACATGTGAGCGCACTGTCTGAGTGCTAGACTCCACAGGCTTCCCCCAGGTGTGACCTAAGAGACCTCGTGCCTTTGGGGGCCAACGGATTTCTGAATTAGCCTAAGTGGAACCCCCCACCCCCAGCTGCCTCTATGAACTAGCGGGTGCTCTTTCTTTTAATGCTGCTCCTTTCTGAGCCTCAGTTTCCTATCGCGTGTCCCTGAAGTCCCCTCATGGTTGCCATTTGCATTTCTTCTTCCAACAGAGATTTCCTGGGGACCAAGGAGGCGTCGCTGCTGCTGATGGCCATGTTCCTCCTCGCTGTGTTCTACCACGGACAGCAGGTAATCTGACCTTCTGCTCGGCCTGCCTTTGGTTGCCTGGCATCTCCCGCTGTCGTAAAGCTGGCTCTTCTTTGCAGCACATGACTAGTAGCTGCTCGCAGCAAGCTGTGATTCCCAACAAATCAATTTCTAATATAGGCCACTTCATAAAACACGAAGCTGGAGAAGATGGTAAACAATACGGCTTAAGGATAGCTCTTTCAAAGAGACCATTGTCCTTAAAACAAAACAAACAGACAAACACAGAGCTTTTGATTTCTGCTTGAGGGAAACGGATCTCTCCCAGTTCCATGGCCTGGATGAAATTGTGACTATCAGAGCTGTGCATGCAGACACTTGGGTGCCAGACCAGCTGAGCCGGGGTTCCCATCCCGCCTCTGCCTCTCGGCAGCTGGTGGCCTTGGGCGTGTTGCTTATCTCCCTGAGTCTCAGTTTCCTCATTTCTAAAAAGGTAGGAACACCTAAGCAGGGCATTTGGAAGAATCATTTATTATTGGGCAGCGTTTTGCTCATGGCCTTACGTAACCATAGGAAGTGCTTCGTCACTGATGTGTCCCGAGTAGATAAAGCGCCTACCCGAATGATGCCACTTCCCTCTGAGCCTCTCCTCTGCCAGGGTCTGGGGGGCACTGTGCATAGCACTGTCCAGAACCCCATCCCTGGCCCCAAGGTTCCAGTCTCTCAGAGGAGAGCAGCCCCAAATAGTAATGCCACGGGGGCATGTGCCAAGTTGAGAACAGGCTGTCCAAGGACCTCAAGAGTCGGAGGGGCGAGAAGATATTCTGCATGGGAGCATCTCAGCAGGCTTCACCTGGTGTCACCTGCTGTCCCCGTAGAACTTCTCCATGCAAACCGAGACCATGGACGCGGTAATGTCATCCCTGGGGGATTCCCACCCCCTGCAGAGCCACACCCTGCCGGCCCATGCTCCCCTCTGGACTCCTGTCCGTCTTTCCTTGGTCTGTGCACACTTCCAAAAAAGTAACCAGAAAGCAAAATAAAACAAAACAAAACAGAAGACGTCAGCTAAAGCAGAAATAGAAACAGATCACTGAGAAATCACCATGGGAACGGGGAGGCAACGAACCCTGAGAAGCCAGGGATGAAACAGCCCAAACCTCAAGAACCTAGAGCTGTTTGCCATAAAGGGGGTGGTGAAGTGCAGTCAAGGGGGAGGAAAGAGAGATATAAGCTTGGCGAGCAAGACAAGGGGGGAAGGGTTCACAGGTACCGAGTTCCTACTAAGTGCCTGGCTCTTACCTCCACTTCTCATTCACTCACGCACCCGCGCCCTGCGATGGCAGTGACTGTCAATCCCGCTTCACAGATGAAGGAAGCAAGAGAAGCAGACTTCCAGCCCAGCCCTGCCTCCCGAGCCCACCCTTCCCACTTCCTCAGCTGGAGGAGAACAGAGAGGACGTGTGTGCATAGCAACACAATGGTGGTGGGGGGAGGGGCAGGGGGTGCATCCCTGCCGTAAGACTCCAACTTGTTTTTCAATTTTAGCTGGTTTGATGGTGAAACCATAAGCCAAATGTCAAAGTCTAGCCATTCCCAGAATCCCCAGATTTAGCTCTCCTGGACTGGGCTGTCTGTGAGAGCTGGGTCGTGTCTGCCACATCCCAATGGATTCTGGTTTCGGGGGACCACTCCTGGGGCTCACATGCAAGTGGCAACCCACTGGAGGGCTATGGAGCCACAATCAGACAAGGCAATTCTACGGAACACCATACCCACTCCGTCAGCCAGGATTTAAGGCGACAAGTGAAAACCCTCAGAGAGAGCAAGTTCCAAGCGGGGGGCCTCAATCCGCAAAAAGAAAGACGTTCCCGTCTCCTCCGCCACCTTAAGGCATGACTGGGTGCCCTGTCGTACCCCTTCCTCAGTCCCTTTCTAACATTCTAACATTCCGATTTAATTTATTCCACTCTCCACGTGTCCCGGGCACACAGGTAACCTAAGCCCATTCAGAGTGTGTATAAAGTAAGAGTATAGAAGTGCAGCGAGGGTCTGAGTAAGTGACTTCCGATAGTGTACTTTTTTAACATTCCGAAGACTTTGAAATGACATAATCACAGCCCATAACTGCAGCAGGTACAGGCACAGGCTTGGCCAGGGCCAGATGAGATTCAAACCCCAGCTGTGTGGCTTTCAGTCCTTTACTCAACTCTGAGCCTGTTTCTCACCTATAAAATGGGTGTGATCATAATATACAGGGTTGTTATAGTTCTTTTTTTTTTTTTTTTTTTTTTTTTTTTTAGAGGGGGAAGAAGGGAGAGAGACAGAGAGTCAGAAACATCGATGAGAGAGAAACATCGATCAGCTGCCCCCTGCACATCTCCTACCGGGGATGTGCCCGCAACCCAGGCACATGCCCCTGACCGGAATCGAACCTGGGACCCTTGAGTCCGCAGGCCGATGCTCCATCCACTGAGTCAAACCGGTTTCGGCTGTTATAGTTCTTAATGAGATTGTAACTATAACATACTTATCCCAGCACTTTGCACACAGAGTACATGCTCAAAAGTCATGAGCTATGCATGGTTTGCTTTGGAAACAAGCCTCTGAGACAAACAAGGAAAGGATTGTTATCCATCTGGTCCCCAGGCAGGAGCAGAGACTCAAGTCACTCGAGGTCACAACGCCAGTAAGGAAAGCCAGACAGACACGGGCGTGTTCCCGCTCCACCCGCGTGGCGCCTGCCTGGCTGCTGGAGGAGGCTTCCCGCAGAACGACATCGGTTCAGGTGTCACCCATTCGTAGCACCTGTCGGGCCCCGTCCTTCCGGATCAAGCCTGCCCATTCCTGGGTCTGCTACCTGCTTCCGCCGGTTCCCCTTGGTGACTCAGGCCCCCTGTGTTTGTTGACAACGCCCACTGGTGCCTGGTACTCAGCAGCCTCCCGGTGGGAGCACTGTAATGACACATCTCCGGAGAGACTGGGCGATCATATAATAGCTGAATAGTTGGAGAATGCCATCTTACACGTATGTGAAAGCGATATGCCCAACCCTTCCTCCTCCTCCAGGCAGGAGAATGCTCTGCAGGTTGGGCAGGGAGAGCAGGCATCCCACACCTCCCACCTCGGCCTCATTCACCTGCAGCTGGAGGTTTGGGCTTTGCCTCACATCTCCATTTATGGCCGAGGAAGCCACACCTGGGGGCAGGGACTACTGAGGTCATGTCTCCAGGCGCTCACTCACTCCTGGGCCTGATACAGACAGGCAGTGGGATTGTGCGGCTCGGAGAGGAAGAGTCAATCTGGGGACCGTATATTCTTAAATCTGAGTCCCGGCAGTGCCACTGGAAGAAAGGGGACCCTGAGAGACTCAAGCTCCAGAGCTGTCATTTAATAGATAATAGTTATCTATATGAGTTAGACAGCAGCTGAGTGAGGTCACATATATAGAGTGTAGAGGTAAGAGCCACAGCTTGGCGTCAAACGCCTGTAAGCTTCGGAGTCTTGCGACATAAGCTCAGTAGGTTCTGGTAATCTCCTTGCTTTCTGATGTGAAAAGATGTTCCCGGCTTGCACATTTTCTCCCCTAGGTTTCAGCCATGTGATTTTGGTAGGAATTGGTATTTTGAAACCCAATCTGGACCCTGGGAGTGCTTGTTGCTGTGGGGTTCTCACTGTCTCTCGGCCTTCACTCCGGGGGGCGGAGCTGGGAGATATACATCCATATCATGCGCGCACAGGGCCACTCACTTCACAGGCAGGACATGTGCTCTGACTTAACCTCATCTATCTTACATCTGCACCTCCTTTTTCCCTCCCCCAAATTCCAGTTCTCAGTGACACCAACGCAAACGCTCATTTGCGTTCTCCTCCGTTCGCATACAGTAGTCTAAGTGGTAATTCCACAAACACTACCAGCTGCAGTAGGATGGTTGTAAACAGTTTTAAGATTATTTTTAAAGGCTTTTTATTGATGTTTAGAGAGAGAGGAAGGCAGAGGAAAAGACAGAGAGAAACATTGATGTGAAAGCAAGACATCCATCGGCTGCCTCTTGCACATCCCCAACTAGGGATCGAGCCCACAACTCAGACATGTGCCCTGACCGGGAATCGAACCCGGGAACTTTTCGGTGCATGGATGAACGACACTGAACCAACTGAGCCACACCGGCCAGGGCTTAAGTTTTTTAAGCTCTCTTCATCCTCGGAGTATTTCCCTCTATGAACGTGTCATCAAATCCTTGTGTTCGGAGAAATTTGGATTTCTCTTCCCCATGTGGTTTTACGTGTAGATTCATTTGCTTAGTTGTGTTTGTTTTTACAGAGTTTTAAAAATCCATTCAGTTTTATACTTAAGTAAAATATTTCCGTGATGCAAAAGTCAAGTTTGTAAAACAACATATAATATTAAAAGTTTGAATTCTATCCCTTTTCCTCCACTTTTTTCCTCCCTTCTTCATCTCATTGGTAATGATTTTTTTAGACTTCAATTTTT